CCCCAAAACCCCAAAACCCCAAAACCCCAAAACCCCTTGCTAACGGGAAATCGTTGTATCCAATTTTTTTACTGAATCAAGTTACAAGTCTTCGAATGGCTTGTAGAGTTCGAGTGTTCTGTAGGCCCACTCGAAGTCTGACAGTTTGAGTCTCAAGTGATCCATGGCACTCATTACTTTGTTATCAAAGTGTTCTTGTGTAATCTCAGAAACTTTGACATACCGAGGAGAGAAGTGAGTGAGACACACTCTCCATGCATTAATGGAAGTTCCTACAGTAATCGCTTGGCCTGTTGTAGTATGATTCTTTTTCTTAGCATCATCTTCAAGTCCGTTCTCTAAGGTGGCTTCATGAATCAGAAGAGTGATACCCTGCCCGTAATTAAGATAGTTTTGGTTAGGCATTGTGTCTCCTGAGTAAAGTATTCTCCAATCTTCAGCTTCGACAACACATCCATAAGCTTCGTAACAATGAAAAGCTTCAACTCCATAAATTCTCTTGATACCTAGCTTGCTGTTGAGAACTTGATAAAACTGTCTTGTGTCTTCGTCAAAATTATCTTCCATCTGTTGAATATTCTGTAGGCATTCTTCATAACTCTTTTGCACGCATCCTTCAACATTCTTTGGTTTACACTCATTTACTTCAAATGGATCATCATTAAAATAGTATTTCTCTGTCTCTGGGTTCAGTTTTGATGTTGGAATTACCTTGACAAATGGAATATCTTTAATCAAATTCTCTAAGAAATAAGGAACACATGCATAGATAGTAAATTCATCCTGATTCTTCTCGATATCTTCAGCTGAGAAGAGTTTTTGAATCGCAAGAGCTCTTTCATGGAATATTTTTGAGATCCCCATTCAGTGGTCTCCATGCATATGGGTAATCCATACCACTCTTAAATTGACTAATATTTGATTTAAGATATTGATATCTTGGAAGTGATCATAAAGCTGCCCATAAGAGGCTTCTGATCAGTCTAGCAATATTCCATAGTTGCTGTCAAACTTATCTCTTGGTGTGGTGCGATATTTCTCTACAAATTTATAGCCCAAATTCTTACCTTCCTCGGTTTCAGAACCTTTATCTCCAGGAATATTAAGATAAATTCAGCTTGCACATCTTGAACCAGTCGGTTTCATTGAAATAGTGCCGCAAAATAAGATCTCAGGTTCATTTTTAAATTTCTTCTCTGGAATAATTGCATCAATGTCAAGATCTTTCAAGAACTCACTATTAGCTTTGGTTTCTTCGTTTTGAGTCAGAATGCCTTCAGTGATCTTCTTCTCTTCTTCGTCTTCCATGTGTTCTGGTTTGATCACATCATCATAAAAGACACCAGCTGATTTAGCTGGGTATAGCTCAACCCTTAGCCCAGATTCAGCCATAATTACATCAAATTCCTTCAGAGAATCCTCCACTTTGTGGTAATTCGCTTTATAAAAATCTATCAGATTAAAGGCAGCTAATGGATAGAGACGAGAACATATGGTATGGTACTTTAGAGACAAGTTCATTGCTTTGTACCTAACTATCCTTTCAGCATTCAAGTCTCTGCAATCAATCACATGCTTTACACCTGGGCCAAACTTCTTCATAAATTCTAAATATTTCTCATTGTTGAAAATCTCAAAACTTTCTGTAGAGTGATATACTATTGCAAGGCTAGTGTTCTCAGAAATATTTCCTTCAAAGTACTCCTCGTATTTAGGATTTGACACAACTGAGTCAATGTAGCTGGAATCTGGCACAAAATTTATTATAAATGATTCTGAAGGAAGAGATTTCTCAACCACTTGGGAAGAATAGATCACTGTGCCATTCTCTAATGTTACATCTTCTCCTTGTGATAACTTTATGGAATGTTAAAGAAAGAGTTCCTTTATTACAAGAAGACTATTAAAATATCTTACCTTTTTAAAATGAAGCTTAGGATTACATCCAAGCTTCTTTGCCTCTTGAGGTATGAACTTTCCTCTCTTCTGAGTAGGAATAACTATATAACTAAGAAATTCCTCTCCATCGTTTCCGACATTTGAAGTAATTTCAACTCTCACTTCATCATCTTCAAAGTAATTTTTCTTTGACACTTTAGTGCCTAAAATAAAAATGTTACTTTAAAATAGTGTTCATGAAGGAGCAACTTACGTAACTCTATGTCTTCTTCATCAGTTTCCATGTCCTCTTTGATTTCTTCTATGTGTTCAAAGATTTCACCACATCCTAGATTAGTCAGTAAGTATTTCTTACCTGCAAAAGTGCCCGTTATGTATCTGACATCTTTTAGCTTTTTGCTGAATCCTTCAGGCCCATAGATAGAGAATCTAAAGCCGCTTTCACTTGCTTTCATACCATCTCTTGTTGTCAAGTAGAATCCTGGGAGGCCAAGGAAGTTATTTGGCAGCAAACTCGGAATAAAGATGCCTCTAACTCTTCCAAATTTCATCTATATTGGGCTATTTATACTCTGTTGATTCCTAAAAAGCCGCTGTACCCTCTAAAACACCTCTAACCCCAAAATTCCTCCTCCAAAAATCATCCCAACCTACCTTCGCCTGAGAAGCTATCCTCTGAATTCCATCTCCAAGATTAAACATATACAAAGTCTCTCCACTATGAAGATACACACACGTCGACAGATCCCTCTGATTATTATGCAAGACTCTTAACCCGTACTTCATATTTCTACTGTAAAAATGACAAAGTTTTAATAAATAAAATTTACCCAGTAAATTGGGGTTTTGGGGTTTTGGGGTTTTGGGGTTTTGGGG